ACATACACCACATCAACCAAGCCCCACCATGCACGCACACAACGCAACATACCTCCACCGCAACCTTCAATCCTGGGGTACTTTTTTTTTCTATATTTCTACCTTAGTATGCATAGGTTTACCTTCAGTTTATATGAATGTATAATTTCCTAGAATAGTGTCATTATCGAAGTGCTTGTAAATATTTTATACTTCATAGTAAAAGCAGACATCCGCAGAGGCTAAGCAGGCTACTGCACGAAGCAGTCAGTCCAACGCTGTAGATTTGGATAAGCTGGAGAGTATGAAGTTTGAGCTTGTGGTTGTTTTAACATTGGGCAGACGGAGGGGGACAGGGATTGGGAATACATTTGTGGGCCTCATTGGGCTCTGTGTGCTCTAGCTTGCTTAAATGCTCTATCGAGAAAAGGAGACACTAAGATTTTATAGAGTCGGTGAATCCTAACATTCCAGAAACAGAAAGGCCACTAAAGATTCTCCAAGATTGTCCTTTTACATTAAGGAAACTGAGGCCCAGAGAAAGGAAGTGTTTTACCTAAATTAATCTCCAAATGACTACTTTATGTCTTCTAAGTGGGTCTTAAATTCAGGAATTTGGAGATCTTTCTAAAGAGGGTATTTTTGTGTTTTTCTAATACAGTGACCAATACCACATGTACTTACTGAGTACTTGTAATGTGTCTATGGAGGAACTGAAGTTTAAGTTTTATTTAATTTTAATTCATTTAACTAGTCCCACATGGCCAGTAGGTACCCTATTGGACAGAGAAGCTCAGGTAATACAATTTTCATTCCTGACTTATCACAGTCTTCCTGGGAGACACATGAGCATCAATCATTTCTACCTTCTCATAGAGAATATTTTAATCTGCTCATCTCCAAACTACAAGTTCAATAATATTTTTTATGTTCATTCAGGTCCGTCTCATGGTGGTTCAGGTAGCGTGATTATTTTATGAATGGACAGCAACGATGCTTTCAGTGGTACAAGCTCCTCAGATAAATCCTATCTTAGGCCAGTCCTTCAGGACGTTATCTTGCTAGATTTGTGGTTCCCTGCTGCTTCATTCCTTTATGGGGCTGGAAAGTGCTGAATGCCTACTGCATACTCTCTCCTCCCCCCACTATATTGGGAAAGAGAGGAAATGTTAGCCAAAACCCATTTTGCAGTTTGTGACCCAATAAAAAGGGCTACGGATCAAGGATATGATTCATTCTGGGTCATTGTGAAAACAAAGGCTCGCTTTCTAAACTGGAATGCCGTGCTCCCAGGACTGTTCTGAGCACCCCTGTGGGAAGGACAGAGAAGTGCAGGAAGGAACTTTTCTCCCCATGAATCCATTCATCATGCTCACGCTGACATGGAGAATTCCAGCTTTAGCATCCGTTTTGATTTTCTCTCATGCTTCCTGTTGTTTCTGACTCTCAAGACAATCCTCACACAGTCAACAGTGGAGCATTTCTATAATTTATAATTTCTCAAATTATTTCAATAAAGGGAATATGGCTATTCCCATTCTAAAGGTATTTTGAAAGTTTGAAAACTCTGGACTCGGGTATTACATCTGCATTGGTGTAGGCCTTTGAGCTTGTGTTCTTCATTGGTGTCTTGATGAATGCTTGCATCTTAAGTTCAATTATTGAAGAAAAGTAAACCTAACAATGTTAGTAATTTTTAAATAAAATAATCCCTAAATGTCTAATACTATTCTGACCAAGGACAATCTATTTTTTTAAGGACAATTTATTTTTAAAAGATGCCCTGTAAGTTGTTTGGTTTTTTGTTTGTTTGTTTGTTTGATTGATTGATTGATTGGTATAGGGGAACACCTAATGGGGGAAAAATCTTACATAACTTTCTTTGAAAAGTATTTTTTTTTATTCTACAAGAATAAGCATTTCTAATATGTTTGGCCTGGAATTTTCTTTGTTGGGAGATTACAATCGAAGGTAGCAAGTAAGAAATGAAAAAATAAATTATGTCCAACAAATGTCTATTTGTGTGTTAAGACTAGGACTTGTACATCCTTGCCAGTATCTCTTCTCTTGCCAGCAGGGTTAATGCTTAGGCTGCTGAGATGTTTCCCAAGAGGCAAAGAGACCGAGGGAGGGATTTATGCCTCCTGGAAAGGCCTGGGCTCTTTTCCTCTTATTCCACTGATTTCTTCGGTGTCAGACTATAGATCCACTCAGACTGGAGTTTTTCCCTTGTGAACCTGATAGAACTGTGGATCTATAGCTGCCTATCAATGTGGACTCCTCCAGTGCCACACAGGATATGCTTGGAGAACAGGAATAGATCACAGACCTTTCAAATACTCCAGTTTTCACTTTATTTCCCTTTTTTCATTGCTTGATTTATTCCACAAATACTTATTGGGAACATTATACTGGTGAACCACAATGGTAATAATAATAATAAAGTAGGAGTAATAATCTCCTACTTCCTATTCATTTGAAATTATATATTATATACCATCAATCTTAATATGAGAAAATATTATGTAAATAGTATTTTGCTGAAATAATTCCAGTATTGATGGTGTTCATCAATATTAGGGATTCTAAGTTGAAAATGAATTAAAATTGCTATATTGCCCAGCCAGTGTGGCTCAGTGTTTGAGGTCACAGTTCAATTCTCAGTCAGGGCTCCGTCCCAGTAGGGGTGTGTAGAAAGCAACCGATCAGTCATTCTCCCTCATCATTGATGTTTCTATCCCTCTCCCTCTCTCTCTGAAATCAATAAAAATATATTTTTTAAATTGTTATATTATGTTGATTAAAGGAATTCAATGTAACAGTAGTCCCTAATAGTACAAAATTCAAAATTCAATATTATAGCTGTTAATGCAAAACAGAAAAAATTCAACCCTAGTTGTTTCCTCCTTCTCAACTACCAGTGTCATCTTCCAACTTTTGTGATGCCTCCCCTGGGAACCACAAATCTTATCCAATTTTACCTTCAGGACAAATTGCATGGAGGTAATAATAGAAAGCTAATGTCAGTCTGAGAGGAGATATTATAATGGGAAAGTACTCCACTGGAAAGAATTTTCAGAGTTTTATAGGTATCAAAAATATACTTATGTTATTGTACTTAACCCTTCTTACTACTTGGAGTTTCTATAAGAAAGGAATTCACAGTACATTCCTTTTTCTGACATACCGTAAAATGCAAATTCTAATATAACACTTGCCCTTTAACTGCTAAATCTTCACCATTAGCCTGGAAGTCCCTGCAGTACAAGAGCTTGTGTTTACTGGCCTTGTCTCCGACATCTAACCTGCACAGAGTTCTGGACTCCTTGATTTTTATTTGTTGAGTGAATTGATTTTGTGGCTTCACAATTACATGCACGTAGATGGTACCCTACAGTTTTCAAAGCATTTTTACTTAGGTTATTTTATTTGGCTATAACAACAATTCTACAAGAAAGGTAGGACAGATGTTTTAATCCATTAATAAAATTGCAGTTCAAGTTATAGCAGACCCAGGATAGGAGAAGGTGGAGGTCATAATAGTCCAGTGGGTTTTTTATTCCATTATTATCATTCAACAAATAGTTATTATAGACTAGTCACTATGCTAAATTTTTTAACTCAATTATCTTACTTAACCCTTGCAACAACCCCATGATACAGAACTATTTTTATCCCCATTTTAGAGATGAAGAAAATGAGGCACAATGAAGTTAGATGACTTGTGTGAGACAACAGAGCTAGTGTCAGCACTGGGATTTAGGCTCCAGCAGTGTGAGGTCACAGTCTAAGCTCTCAATATGGCCTAACTACTGCCCTACTGTTTTTAGGGTGACCTTCTAAAAAGTATGGCAGCATGCACACATGAATCAAATAACACCCATGGTGATTTCTTAACACGTTAAGCACCATGTCAATCACTGGTGACTGACACTATACTTTCCATCTGGAAGACAAAACAGGCTGGGCGCTTAACATGTTAATGCCTTTATTAAATTAATTGTTATTATAATAAATGCATTTTGAATGCTTCTGTAAGTTTATTAGCCAGAGATTATTGTTATAGGTTATAGATAAAAAGACAATACAAGAGAAAAAGTAAAGAAATTTAGACAAAAGTAGTCAGCAAGTTGCCAAGACTAGAAGTAAGGCAGATCATCATTCTTCTGTGATAGAATAAGGCACCTCCCAGGTGACAGAGAATGAGTCTGAAAAAAATATATTCAAGGCAACGGAATATGTGTCAGGTCTTGTAAAAGATGCTGCAGTCAGAAAAGAGCCCACCACTGCCACCAAATGGGATGATCACAGCAGGGGGAAACCTCATTGGAACTCAGCAGTGTGGCTTTTTAATGAAGATTCCTACCTGCCTATACCATATAAATGTCTGGACTTCTGCCTCCCCCTTGAGTTCTCCTCAACTACTTATTAACGAGTGCACCTCACCCTGTCTCAACTATCCAGAGTAGCTGAAAACACACTGAACTTCAAGAGAGCAGAAGCCTAGAGAGAATTCTACTGCCAATAAGCTGCAGTAATTGATGGTATGAGGACTTTATGTGGGACAAATATGTTAAAATCAACATTCTAAATGGAGTATCATTTACATGTGCAAAACAGGGCAATACATGAGGAGGAAGGGTAGAGTAGAACCATTAACATTATTTATAGGCTGTGAAAACCAAAGGCTAAATGTGAGGATGATAACAGAGAGACCATTGGACCTGGACTGTCCATCTTGGCATGTGATACGCTGAGGTGGCTTTAGGCATGTCTTATCACCTCTAAATCGTCATTGCCATGGTGGTCATGTTCTGTAGGTTGAGTTTTAAATCACATCTTATCATACTTTACGATAAATAGGTAAATTCATCAAATGCTTTTTATATGTTTTTCAAGTACATGAATTGAAATATGTATCTGATGTGTCATCTAAACTTATTTAATATTTTGATACTTCTGCTGAAAGTTATTCTCACACCCAAAGTCATCTTTCCTTACTTAAATTTTCTCTTTCATAGAGCAAATTGGCCAGGAGATGTTGGAAAACCTCAGTCATGACAGAGAAAAGATACAGAGAGCACGTGAAAGAGTAAGTAGAAGTGATATCATCTTTTCACAAATTCAATAAATATAAGACATGAAACTGAGGGTCTTTGTGTCAGTCACAGTCACATAGATGTAAGTATATATGAAAACTAGAGTCCCAGTGCATGGATTCATGCACCAGTGGGGTCCCTCAACCTGGCCTGCACCCTCTTGCAATCTGGGACCCCTCAGGGGATGTCAGAGAGCTGGTTTGGGCCCGATCCCCTCAGGCCAGGCCAAGGGACCCCACCTGTGCACAGGGCCTCTAGTATGCATATAAGATCTTTGGTTAATCTCTTCCTACATTCCCCCCTTTCCTCTGAGATTCATCAGTCTATTCCATGTTTCCATGCTTATGGTTTCAGCTCCTGCATTGAGTGTATACACACACACACACACACACACACACACACACACACACACACCGTATTTTCTGGCGTATAAGATGACTTTTGAAACGAAAAAAAGTCAAATGAAAATCGAGGGCAAAAGACCAAAATTGCACAAAAATTACCTGCAGATCTTGACGGCAAAGTAAGTCTTTTCTTTGAAGTGGGGGTTAGTCTTATACAGCGAATATAGGCCTAAACCTATGTTTTAACTGTAAAATTAAGGGGGTCGTCTTATACGCCAGAAAATACAGTGTATATACACACACACACACACACACACACACACACACATATAGATATATATGTATATGTATATACTATATATATATATATATATATATATATATATATATACACACACACACACACACACACACACACACACACACCGTATTTTCTGGCGTATAAGACGACTTTTGAAACGAAAAAAAGTCAAACAAAAATCGAGGGCAAAAGACCAAAATTGCACAAAAATTACCTGCAGATCTTGACGGCAAAGTAAGTCTTTTCTTTGAAGTGGGGGTTAGTCTTATACAGCGAATATAGGCCTAAACCTATGTTTTAACTGTAAAATTAAGGGGGTCATCTTATACACCGGAAAATACAGTGTATACACACACACACACACACACACACGTATATATAGATATATATGTGTGTGTGTGTGTGTATATATATATATATATATATATATATATATATATATATATATATGGCTAGGAAGATGGAGGGATGGAAGGATGGAAGACAAAACAGAAGAGTGTGGGATGGAGAAAGAATAAGTTCCCTCTTTATGTCCCCATTTTGAAATGCCCCCACATGGACATTTTATTTAGCTGAAAAGGTCATTGAGGGATATTTTGGAGTATATCAGGCCCCTTGGAGTGAAATCTAAAAACATTGGTCTCATCCTTCCTCAATTCACTCTGCTTCCATTTATAGTACCAGAACTTTGCATATTCACAAATAGAAAAACTAATAAATTACCAACATATATCAAACTTTATCAGCCTTTGAGGCATTTGCTTTTATATCCAGTTCAGGTATCCAGTTTAAAGTTCCTGGGATTATCAATCTCATGAAATTTTCTAAATCTAAGAATTTCCTGAGATGGAAAATGTGTCAAAAATGCATTTCAGTGCATTTTTTATGAATTTGACTTTCTATCATGAAATAAAATTATTGTTTGCCAGTGCACTTTAAAAAATGATCCAGTGGCCTTCAGTTTTGCTTTTTGTTTTATTTTATTTTGTTTTGTTTTAATGCTGCTCTTCTTCTCCTAGCTTCGGGAAACAGACGCTAACTTGGGAAAAAGCTCCAGGGTCCTGACGGGGATGTTGCGAAGGTAAGAGCAAGGTAGGGACCCATCTTTCTCTCTCTCCCTTTTTTGAACCGTGTTTCTCCTCTTGTTGCAACCAGGCACTTTTCAAGCATGCAGCCTTCTGCTCTCAGTACCCTGCATTGAGACCCTTTTGAAATGCCAGAGCACTGATATTAACTCTTGTTTGGACAGGGACACAGTCTGCGCACCTTAGATTAGAGAGAAGGTTTGAGCTAGAGGGGTTACCTCAAGCTATGGAAAAAAATTAGGGTTAGACATGAAGAATTTTTCATAGCCTGAGGAAGGCCCCATGGCAGGAGCTGCGTGATTTTATTTTCTATTTCAGTCGTCTCTTTCTTAGAGAGGGAATGCAGGCTGTGGTATCAGGAGCACCCCTGGTATTAGCTCATCACCATTGCCTTTGTTTTCATTTCTTTTTTAAGTGATGCTATTTGGGGCAATATCTCAATTTTTATGTATACTTCAAAATGGTTTTTATAATTTAAAGCATATCTGATCATCTGAATTCACATGTGTGAGCAAACAAATGTTAATGTTTTCTATGTGTAATTAAACTTTGATGGAACATATTTGAGAGAGCTTGGAAAGAAATGAATGAGCGCAGGTAATTTTGTTTCCATTGGTCTGAAAATTGGAGCCCTTTTTCCTTTGGTATATTCAGCATGTAATTATTTTACATTCAGAATCTAACAAATAAGAGCATCATGAAGCATAACCTTCCATTTGGAGCTGTGGTTAGAAATGTGAGTGTGGGGGATGTTGAGAATTGCCTCCAGAATCACGTAATTGGAATTTAAAGAAGAGAATCATTTTTCTCACTGATACTGTAGAGACAACTGTTTGAAAATAAGTCTTCTCTGATCGTGTGTTGGTAGATAATTTGCTGAAAGTATGTTTGCTGGGTTAGAGATTGATGGCATAAGAACCAGTCAAAGGTGTGGTTGCTGAGTCTCCATGGACTAAGTGATTTCTCTATCAGGCTGATCACCAGCCAGTCTAAAGCTCTGGGCACTTTCAGCCAATATTGACTCAACTCCACACGCCTCTCCTTTTCCTACACACATCGTCGTGATTCGGGTCCATAAACCACCCAATTCTCTGATTAAGGGTAATACACAAATGACCTAGGAAAACTCCAAATCCACAGAGAAGTGGCTAGTGAAAGGAATGCTTCAGTGCCTATAGACAATAAGGAAGAAAAAGGGGAACACCCTCGCTGGCTTCCCTGGGAGGCCCCGTGATGTGAGCTGTAACGAGCATTCTGCATATGTCTCTATTTCGTCAAATCTCATTAAAGAGTCCTCCTCTTCATGTCAATTGAGCTGTCTAGGAATCATTCATCATTTTTAGTGTAAAAAAAAATCATGCAGTTATTTAAATAATATCATATTAATGTTAAAGTTCAGCTGTCATTTAATGATATGGCTTAATCAGATGTAGCATTTATGAAAAACAGTTTATTCGGGCCGTACATGGCTTTCAGGTTGGCAGATTCAAATCAGGATTTATGAGTTTCTAAACCAGTATATTTCTGTCCATGTTTCTGCTTGATGTACCTCAGCCTTCTGTGCAAGGCACCGCCGACAGTTATTTCAACAAATAAAGCATCTCCTCGTATTGCATTTGAATAAATTTGCAAATCATTTAGAGAGGGTGAAGCACAAACAACTCCTGCAACCTTTGATGGGGCTTTCTGCAGGGAAATTAGACTAACACGGTTGTTTCAAAAGTCCACAGACGAAAATTACTCTGCTGAAATCTACTTGGGGTTCCCTTTATAGGCAAACTCAGTCCATCACTGACGCGTCTCCTTGTGGGATCCGCCTAGAGTATGAACAGGAATAAAAATCCCCAGCTGGACATCACCTTGCTCTGGGTGTCTGAGCCAAGGACACTCTTAAGTCCACCTGTGTTTAGTGGTGGCTGTGTTTTTCTCTAGGCATCTTGCAATCAGCCAAGGTACCCAGGTATTCTGAGTCAGTAATGGAACTTGGGAGTCTTTGAAACCACATACAGGTGGTGGATGGGTGTTAGCTTCTAAGTACTGTCCCATATCATTATACAGTTTCTGTTGGAATTGGGAAAAGGCAAAAATATTCTACCTACTTAATTATTTCTTACCATCGCCCGGAAAAACAGTGTCTAGGGAAATGGAACCCGGCTTACTATGCTGAAGTCTTTCGTTCAGATGCTCTGATTTTGCTTCCCCTGGTCTGTCCTCCCATCCTCATGGCATTCACTTCCAACCTGCTGAGGTTTTTATTCCAGAAGCCTCATTCTCTTACCCAAACTGCTCGGCACCAGCGTATGTCCACAGGTGCTTCTGGTTTTGGAAAAGGTGACTATTGAACAGTGTGCTCATCCGTCACCCTCACAAATGTGTGAGAGCAATGAATGTCCCCTTTATGCTGTGGAGGTGTTTGCCTGCGTACGCCCTAAGCTTACTTGTTTCCACATGATCAGTTCAGTGTGACTGGAATAGGTAAATAGTCTATAACCCACCAAACCAAGGAATTGTATTCTTCAAAACAAAGATTGCTGATTATTTTTAATTGTTTAAACTTAGATTGTTTTTAAATTTGTACAATGAACAGAAATGGGCATGTTGTGGCCCCTTTGTTGGGTCATTTTACTTATATTGACTAGTACACTGCGAAGACAGTTGAAACCAAAGTCCTACCAGTGCCAATGTCTGAACATACACCCCCCACAGACACCCCCACTCTGCTGAAATCTACTTGGGGTTCCCTTTATAGGCAAACTCAGTCCATCACTGACGCGTCTCTTTGTGGGATCCGCCTAGAGTATGAACAGGAATAAAAATCCCTAGCTGGACATCACCTTGCTCTGGGTGTCTGAGCCAAGGACAGTTTTACAGTTTCTCTGTAAAACTGGTCAAAAGCAGATAGGAAATGAAATGAGTAAGTGGCAGCCACTACCACTTATACTTTTTAATTCTTTAACTTCAAATGAGATTTTTAAAATCTATTTTCTTCTTTCTTCTCCTCTCCTCCTCCTCCTCCTCCTCCTCCTCCTCCTCCTCCTCCTCCTCCTCCTTCTCCTCTTCCTCCTCTTCCTCCTCCTCCTCCTCCCCTTCCTCCTCCCCCTCCGCCTCCCCCTCCTCCTCCTCCTCCTCCTCCTCCTCCTCTTCTTCTTCTCCTTCTTTCCTTCCTTCCTTCCTTCCTTCCTTCCTTCCTTCCTTCCTTCCTTCCTTCCTTCCTTCCTCCCTCTTTTTCTCCTTCTTTTTGGCTTATTTGCTCTCTAGTAAATATTTTTTGTCTATATATAAAGCCTTGGGGATCCTCAAATGAAACCGGTTTGATTCTTGCCTTCAGATAGCTCTAGTCTAGTAGAGAATACATGCCTCTAACATGCTGTGGGAATTCGTAAAATCATCTAATTCTCAAGGAAGCTGGGGAAGATTCTGCAACTCCCACGAATCCTTACTGGTCGTGAAAAAGGGTGCCAGGGAAACAAATAACCAATAGGAAATACAAGTTCAATTGCTATAAAGGCAGTTTGTTTGGGAAATATGGGGAAATGGAGGATGATAGGGAATCATAGGAGAAACAAGTTTTGAAAAGAGAAAAAGTATGCAGAAAATACTGAGGCACATGTAGTTTAGTGAGGTAGCAACTGATTCAACCAACATAAATAAATAAATTACTCTTCATGTAACTACATTATATTACCAGAAGTGAAAACAAAGAAATTGGGTCCATTTAAAATTGTAACAGTGAAAGGTGACATCAGAATACAGATAGTGCTGATTTCCTGAATTTTTCTTCTGTCTTGACATAAGATAGAGAGCTACCTAGGGACAAATGTTCATTTCCTGACTCTGTAGACAGAGTTTAAATAAAGTGGTGTTTCAGATAACAAAAACGCTCATGAAGCAAATGACCACTTGTGTGGTGATTGGGGCAAAAGAAATGGATTTTTCATTGATCTATACGAAATTTGATTATTTGAATAGCTGTCTTAATGAGTCACAAGTAACACCGAGAAGCTTCATTGTTGCTCCTCACGTATTTGCATGCATGTGTGTGTTTGCTCCTACATGTTTGATGGGGAAGTCTTATTAGGTCAAACATTGCTGACAGTCAGTGACAATGGAAATAGATGTTTTTGAGATTTTCAGTCAGAAAACAAAGGACATCATAACTCTGTTTCTTTTTACCTCTTAAGAGTGAATCATTTATCAGCAATAGTGTATTTGAATCTAGAGGTATCTGAAAGATTCCTTAGGGATTAATAAAGTTATCATTTGGGAACTCCACTGACATAAATTTGGAGGATATAGTAATCAATTTATGCTGGTTCATTGACTACCTTTATATATGCTGGCAAAAGGCTTACAGAAAGAAATGGCAGATGTTATATATTATTAAAATACTAGAGGCCTGGTTCTCGAAATGCGTGTATGGATGTGGTCCCTAGGCCTGGACAGCGATCGAAGCATGGGTGTCTGGTGTGGACGGGCAGGTCCCAGCTGACCTCTGGGCCCTAGGCAGCACCTAGGCTCCTGAGCCCCTACGTGTCTGCACTGCGCATGTTACAGCGAGCGGTCAAACTCCTGGTAGAGGGGACAATTTGCATGTTAGGCTTTTATTATATAGGATATTTTTTATGATTACCTTCATATGAACATGGTGGGCATTGGTGACAAAGCACTGGCAGCCATGGAGGCACTGCTGGCCCCAATGGGCTTCTGGGTGAATCTTCCAGGCGGTAGCCACAAGGACCACAGGGACCAATCAGGTTCCCTGTGGGTTTGCACAGGAGCTGGTCTGTGAGGCTGGCAGGGAGAGAGCGCACTGCGGCCCAGCTTCTGTGCAGTGACACTGGGCAGCCCAGAGTCCTACGTTACTAGGCATCCAGCTGTGCTCACTGCATCTCTGCATGGGGACTCAGGCAGAGGGGAACGTGTAGGGGAAACTTTTTAAAAATCAGAATGTTTCCTTCAAAAAGGGAATTCTGTTTACCCTCTCAACATCATGTAA